TAGCTGCTGGTTTACGCTTGTAAGCTCGAATGTATCGGAATGCTTGGTACATGTGGTTTTTCCAATATTTTGCGACCTTGGCACTGAATACGAATGGAAAGATTTTAACAAAGCTTTTATTTATAATCTTTATTGTGCGAACTGTGTTTTATTGCGCGAGCTGACAGTATTTATTCTGCAGTAATTTTCAGTTTTCATCGCTAACCAGAATGATTTGCTTCAATATATTTTATCAGATACGAAAGGAACTATTGTATTAATAATAATAACAACAACAACAACAACAACATCAACAACAATAATAATAATAATAATAATATAAATGATATACATTTTTATATCTTTATATATTATTTCTGCAATAAATAGTTTGCAATTTTCATCTGGGTTTTATTTGGAGAATGTTTATTTTTTTAATGTTAACGTAACATACTGGCTTTATTAATATGTAATGGTTTGGAAGAAATTGCTTTTACCGTTCAATTTATGATAAGGAGTTCAACGTGTGTTATTATGTTTGGTGAGGTTAAATTTGGTTAAAAATAATTCACTATTCGTATATATTTATCATCTGATTAATGATTTGTCATCTGATTGATTTGCATTTATTATAATAATTCAAAAGAAAACTGTAAATATAAAAGACACTTGTTTCTGTGTGAAAATGTTCAAGTAAGGGAGCACCTTCACGTGCTCCCAAACATTCTTCATGTCGCGTACAATGGAACAAAAAAGTTTTTAGAACTGATGAATATATTGCCCCAATTAATTTAATCCTCGTTATTTTATGCAAAACATCGAATACTCGATTGTGCATTTGAGACTTTTTCGCAGTAATTGTAAGCGAGTGTGAATTGGCTCTTTGGTATTTCGTTGGCGTGCGAAACCTCAATTTTTCAAACATCTGCGGGGAATCCCAGAAGTTTTCAGTCATCGGTACGTGCAATCGTGCCTATTTTCAGATTTCTAATTAAGATTTGTAAGAAAAATTAAAAAAGTAGGATGGTACTAAGTGTTCGATCGAGAATTTATTCAGTTGTCAAATGGAGAAAACATTCATGCATGTGTGTTTGCGTACGTGTGTATCGATGAGTAATTTGACCATTATTTTTATATGCACGATCGGAAGCATTGATTTATAGGCTCTTAAAGCTAGAGCCTTGCTAATTTATAAATGGAAAATGTTTATATTTTATTCTTTACTTATTACATTTAAATGAACTTTATGTTCACCTCAATATTTTATATTTATTTCATTTTGTGCATTTAATATGATATAGAGGGTCGGAGAGATATACCTATAGTTAGTTTCAACTTTTTTGGTAATTTATATTTTTTGTTTTTTGTCTGCTCAAGTTATCTTGTGCTTTTAGAAATGTACTAATGTACGCTCGATATTAGTTATCTATTGTTTGATAATTTTATTATTCGTTATTTTTTTAGTAATTTAAAATGGTTGCATAAACATATTAAAGCTGAAATAATTTTTATTTTAATATACATGCTTACGCAAGCAATTTTTTATTTTGAATATAAAATTAACAATATGATAATAGTATTTTTATATCACTATATATAATTTAGTGATAAATAATATTTCATTTAAGTTAGATATTATTTACTAAATAGTATTTATGGAAAGTTTGGTGTAATGCTGTTAAACATGCGACAACAACATCTAATGTTCGATGCTCTTTGTAAATACATAAAAATATATGTACGTACTTAATTTTTATCAGATACGTGAGAGAGAGAGAGAGAGAGAGAGAGAGAGAGAGAGAGAGGGAGAGAGAGAAGAACGAACGAGAATGAAAAACATAAATATTATTTTTTCTTTTATGATAAATACATAAGGTCTCTGTCATTAAAAGCTTATTTATTTATCCGATTATTATCTACAATTGTAAGCATGTAAAGTTATAAAAATGAAAATTTAATAATTGGCTGATTTGTTCAAGGTACATTGAATTTTCCTATGCTACAATCACATTTTAAATATATTAAAAAATTCATTTTATTATAAGGATGTTATATTTAACGAATACAAAATTTGGGAAAAATAGAAGTGATTATTCTTCTTTAGGAAGTAAATATTTTATATTAAATGTTATATAATTTATTTATTACATAACTCGATTTATCATTTATATAGCAATCATTAATTTTATAGTAATTACCATTACACATATATTTATACCATTACTAAGCACATTTTACATTTTATAATATAACGCAAATTTTCCGCCGAATCCAATTTCGCTTAATTAAGTAAAATATTTATATAATATTTATAAAGGAAGTTTTTTATTAATATTTATTAATAATTTTATATAAGTATAGCCTTACTCAACGATTTAAAAAAAAAATTAATACTCTGATATTATTCAATTTACATCTTATAAAAAGCATAAGAATAAATGGGTGCTTGTAACGAAATATACGAATTTTTTCCTGAATAAGAGTTACAGTCATGAACAATAGAATGATAACAAAATTACTAATTCAATGTTGCGTCGGTAAACAACTGTAAAATTATCAAAAATTAGGATTATTTTATTTAATTGTGTTGGCATTGATGGAATTTCAGTTACGGATTTGGTTTCTATTGTAGTTTATTATTTGTCAGCTATTTTTAAAATGTTTACAAAATTCATAAAATTTTATTGTACATAATATGTAGTGCTCAAGCTTTCTTAAAAAAATAAAAGTTAACTTTTAAAATTAATAGTAAAAATTCTTTACTAAACAACTAATCTGACGTTAGAAATTATTTATATATATATATATATATATATATTCTTTTTATAATCAATCAATTTTAATTTTATAATAATATCAATTTTATAAATATATTTCTGAATAAATTTATATATATATATATAACATTTTGTATTACAAAAATTCAAGAACTTTACATTTTACAAAATATAGAATACGCTTCATCTATAAGAAATCTAATCAACTAATATGAATATTTATTACTAATACAAATATGTTAAATTGCAATACGGTAATTATTATCAACTTTTGATTAATGAATACCTATCCTAGTTTATACAAACTGACTATGTTTAATTAATATTATCGGTTAGGAGAGGTTAACAATACATTCCGGATAAATATCGATTGTCGATATTTGGAATTTTTAATACAGAAATTAAATTGTGCAAATAGTTTCTCATAGAAAATTATTATAAAATTAATTTGAATAATGTAGATTATAATGAAGTATATACGTAATCGTAAAAATCATATATTCATGTTTGTATTATTAAATTCCCATTATTATATGTGTACATTTGAGTTGAATCGTAACAAGTTAATAGTGGTAAGATCGTTAATTTTCTTTCTCTATTTTATCATGGTTAATACTATCATAATAATTATTTTTATTATTTAAGACTACTTGCTAAATATGTATGGTAAGTAAGTTTTTCAGAATTCGTAAGTTCGTAACTTCATTTGCCGATTCTGTTCTCGTATATTCGCAGTTCGCATATATTCAGTGTCTTAAAATTTTATAATCGTTTCTGTTCACCATAATATCATATAACAAATATTCTTTTTTAAAATGCAAGTTCATGTAAGTGTTAATTTCATGGTTTTTATTTGCAATACGTACATTTAGATTCACTACATCGAAGTACAAGGCATCCATTAAAATGAATAATATTAATGATTTCTGTCTACAATAATGTCTTTTTAACTAGGAATATTCACGGTCAAAAGACTCATTTATACACCATCCATTCTCGAATTCCACATACACATACGCGCCGGCTAATGCGCATAGAAATAGGAAAGTTCATTTGGGGATATCCCAATTTTTTTCTTTGACTCACTACCGCTACGAGTTCCTGTATACATATGTACACGTACAATATAAGAAAAAAACACAACATAGACAGCAGAAATGGTGATAATCGTGCTGAATACACGAAAAATTGACCATACCACTAATCGTTATTTGCATTCCTTTAACTTTTCGCGCGTGTCGTGCCACTTTGTGTACTCGTGTGGGTACGTTAATTCGTGTGAGCATGGCGAGTTGTATCGTTAATGTTTCTGTCTCCACGAAAATGGTCGCTAATTCACTATTGCTCTCTTTTTTCTTTTCTCATCAAGTTATTTTACGGGGAATTAGCGCCGTGGCGTTTAGCGTCATCGGCGCATTTCGATTGCTTTTTACTGCAATTTCGTTTACTGCAACTTCTGCACGTGCGCGACTTAATGTTTATGTATACATTATATGTGAGTCTCGACATTATCTACGTGAAGTTTAGGTAAGTTTTTTTTAGAGAATTTATGGCGTTGCGATATTCTTTTAAACTATATCATTATTCAAAATTCAGGTGATTTTTTTTTTTTTTTTTTTTTTTTTATTATAGAAACACAGGTGGAGTTCAGAGCTGTTTTGTACTTATATAGCACCATTTAAAAACTAAATGTCAAGGTGTTATTTGGTTTCCACAAATACTCCGTACTACCTTTATTTTGAATATAGAATTTTCTCAAACTAAACTTCTTTACTAAAGTACTATCATAAATATAAGTTTTATCAAGCTTAATACAGATTTATGAGGCAACGGGAGTGCTTGCACATGCAAATCCATATTATGATAATTTTTAAAACCAATGAATTCGTAACAGTTTATCTTATTCATGTGATTGGCTTCTATGTTAATTAGCACTGTATTAAAATCGTTATAAATTTGCAGATAAGCACATTAATATTTAAATCTGGTTATTATTTTTATTATGATTTCGAACATTTGAAAAGGCAAGTGGTGACTTTTCAAAAATCCGATGTTATTTTCGTGAGGCGTTTATCTTCATATAAATTGCTGATAAAGTTTTTCAACACCTGTGTTGTTACGTTCTTTTCATGACGTAGGCAAATGTATAAGAGGAAAAATACCATATTTTAAAAAGGAAGAATAAAATGTACGTCAAAAATAAACAATAGTTTAATATGATACATTATAGGCATATTTCATAAATTATTACATAGTAATATTTTTCAATATTTTAAGAAGTCCTTCACTTGCTAGATAAGTAAAATAATTATTTATATTTTAGTTATTATATTTTATATAACTAATCACTACGTTTGAATATCTTACGAAGAAGATTAGCAGTTCAAATATTGTGAAGTTGTCAATAGCAATAAAAAATTTCGTCTAATGTGTTTTTTTCGTGTAATATTTTTATCTGTTAAAATTATCGCATTAAATGTATTAATGTGCTAATACATATTATAGATTAAAGTAAGTTTTCGCGTTGATTTCATAATAAAAAATCTGAAATGGTTTAATTTATGAGAATAATGTATTCCGTTTAAATCAAATAATTTTATAAAACACGTGGATAAAAATGTTTAAATATTAACATTTTTTTATTTAATTGCCTAATAATTTTTACATTAAATTTTAAAACGTAATTTATATTACAATATTTGACAAAAGATTTATGAAATAGTTTAAAGGTATTCGATATAACGAGAGAAAGAGTAAAATGAATTCTTAATTATTAATGCGTGAATTTTAGGAATTGCGATAAACGTGATACGAACTGAGGTATCGTTTGTTTTATTTCTATAAATAACTTTCGTACAAATAAAAATCTTCTGAATATAGTAATAAATACTATATAAAACTAAAATTTTGTATCCCATATGTATATGCGCGCGCGCACACACACACATACATAAATATTTTTTTTTTTAATAATTTTTAATTATGTATGATTTAATTTTTATCTGGTGTGCGATAAAAATAAGCAAATTAAAATAGTAATTTTAAATTCAAAGTATTCCTTGATATTTATGTTTTCAATGACATTTTCAATTAGACTTATTAATTTTTATATTATGATTATTATGCTTAAAATGCTTCATAGACTCGTAGTAAGGTGATATAAAGACATTGTCGATACTGCGTTTTAACAATTATATAAAATCTTCTTAAAAAATGTTTCATTTATGTCATTTTAAAATATACATAAACGTTGAATATCAATAGAGTACCACAACGACCACGTTATCGTGTTTTAACATACGTTATATGTTAATTTTTCAGCTATGTATATTTGCTCAAAGAATACAAAATATAAAATTAATTCCTTCGGCAAATAAATGATTATTCTTGTATTTCCATAAAACTATTTTTTCACGATAAAATATCTGTTGTAAGTCCTTAATGTCTATTCAAAGTTTTACAATATGGGTACAATAATCCAAGCATCAGATAAAAATAATTATAAGAATTGTTAAATGATCTTATAGCATTGAGGAGCTCAGCTAAGTAAATATAAAAAATAACGATTTAAATTGAGATAGGAAAGAAGGCGATAGAAAACGAAGGAGTACTCGACACGTAGTTGCTGTGCAGCATCTTGACGCGTTAAATGCATTTCCGTGGCACGGAAGAACAGTGCATATTGTATAGTCAACTAATATTAATAACTGCATGAAAAAAAAAAGAAAAGAACTGCACACTTACCCAGTTGAGTCTCGTTTTGTTTACTCTTGCTGTCCCCCGGAGACGTGTTTTGCTATTTATCTCAGAATAGCATCCATCCAAAGTCGTTAAGCCCAAGTTATAAGAATTTCGTCTTGGTCGAGTAACGAAAAAGCCTTTCGTAGATCTTCTTGAGCTTGATAGGCTTAGTCTGATGTACTTAATCACGTATTACGCGAAGTCGCTTCCAACCTTTTTCCTCTCCCAGCTGTACCTCGAAGAATGCGGTACAAGCACTGTTACGGGTAGGGCGGGAGGGGGAGGAGGGTCGGGCGGGCGTGCGATGTCGGGCACTATTTTTCCCTTTTTTCCTCTTCTTCCACGAGTCGTCGCGTCGCACTAGCACTTCTTCTTCCTCGGTGCTAATCCTTTGCAACGCGCTTCATGTCTGATTGTCGGGGAGAACTGGAATTGAAAGAAAGAGGAGGACAATTGATTATTGTGATGCGTATCGACGTGGTCAGGATGGGATTTAATGAGACTACGCATAGTCGGCGTAAAAGACTTATGGAATGTTCTTATCTAGCGCGCGAGTCGAGATAATATATTATCTTGTATATACCTCGTAATAGCGTGCATAAAAAATATAAACACGATAACAAACATTAATTAAGCTCATTTTTCGTCTTTTTCTGGGTAAAGAGGCCGAGGAGACTTTTAACAACAATTTCATTATTAAATACTCGTGAATTGTAGGGCTACAGTGTTTGATTGGTGTAGGACACGTAGGCAAGTTAATAGCATAACATGCAAAATTTATTTATTATTATCTGATGTTTTTAGTACGGTCAATCTATAATGTGCGTATTTGATAAACGTTTTTCAAAATAAATTACTAAATTTATCTTGATTTAGAATAAATTAAAATCTTATTCGCATTTGATAAAATACGTTCATACGAGGTGGATGTGCGCCTCTGCATGTACTTATGTTTGCGTGTGTGTATGTGCGCGCGATTCCAAAGAGTTTCTCGTATGCGTACTCATGTGCTGAAATTTGATTGCACAACGGAATACAAGTGTCTGCATAGACTTATAAATTATTCCGGAAGGATTAAGGTAAATTAATAAGGTTGCAGACCTTAGCTCATCTAATGATATTTACTTTTATAATTAAGATTGCGTCGATCCTAATATTGGAATAATATCCACGTAATGCAATATATACTGATACTTATAGATAGGAAATTATTGCCGATAGATTCATTTAATTCGTTTTATATCGTGTGTATATCAACAAGTATACCGAAGTAAATTTTATTGACGAACATGAACATTCATTTCAATTTAGCCATATGAATTTTGATAGATTGTTTTTCACAATATTTATTCTATATACCAATAAAAATTGGCATTGCTCTTAATCTATACTTCTTTCACTTTCAAACGTATAGACATACGAGTGCTATGTCCTGAATACTCGTTAGTGTATCATAAAAAATCTTTATCACATAATTTAATATCTTAAGAAGCTGTAGAATCATCATCCAATTGACTTATAGACACAGTGCCAAGAACGCCATTCAGATCACAAAATAATAGTATTTAATTATGCTTAAAGAGTGAAATCTTCTTAGCATAGTAGCTTCTAAAGATTCGCTTCGGAATTATCGTTAATCCTATATTCTTATTCCAAACTAGTATAATCGTTTTCATTTCTTAAGCTGGCAAATTCAGTTCTGACACCACGTTGAGAAAACAAAAGAGAGAACGAATCACGTCATCAGATTTTATTTCGGAACGGCACGCAAAAAATGCATTATCCACGCAGGTCTGGTCGTCCCGAGCGGTAATCATAGAGAAAACGCGCCTCCACAACACGTATTTATCTTAATTAAGTCGCTGCGTACAAACTCAGTCACACATTTGCACACACACGCTCGCAGCAGCAACAGCAGCGGCGTCTCAGCAACAGTTCACCAAGTGAATCAATGAATGGAGGGAATCCACGAGTCGAGACGCCGCGCGAATATTAGGTCGCGAGTCTCTTAAGTTTGTACGTATGCGTACAGGTATACGGTAGGCGGTCGAGGGAATACGCGTGTGCGCGTGAGGCCGAAGGCTTTTCCGCCTTTCGCTCGTTCGCGGTTTTTACGCTCGACGGTGACGGTGGTGGCGGTGGCGGTGGCGGTGGCGGTGGCGACGGCACTGGCGGTGGCGGCGGTGGCGGCGGTGGCGGCTACAAGAAATGGAGTACTTTCATTTTCGTGCGAAGAACGTCGGCAGCGTGCCCGGCATTCTTCACTAATGGAGATTGCGAAAAGTCTTGAATCACTCTCTTTTATTTTTCGTGCGGCGGCTGCGGCGGTAGTGATAATAATAATAATGATGATAATGATGATGATGATGACGATGATGATGATGGAAGGAGCGACCGGGCGATCATAGAAAAAAATCGCTACTCTTTTGCTAACTGCTCTTTGTCCATTTTTTATTGACAAGATGAATATCACTGGTATTTTTATTCCGACTGTAGCTCGACATTTTCGGTTCGTTTCGGACATTGACGATTGGTAACGATTTCGTTACACGAATGAGGTTAATTTCGATGCATTACGACATATGTAATTGTATCGTAGGGTATTATCTACGTTTATTAAACTAAATCTAGTGATAGGTTGATCTCGTAGCTTATAGCGAGGCATTTTTAGAGATCAGAAAGACCTGTAGTATTTGAACATTTAATTTTTTATTTTAATCGGCTTGTAAGAGGACTCTAACACTAATTTGATGGCCGTTATATTATGAAATGATCTACTATAGTTTAAATTGGTTTAAATCCGTATATATGTTATAATATATTTGTTAAATTCAATCTTTAAATTGAAGACGAGACATGATTTCTAATTGAATTTTCATTAAAATATCTTTCGGATGATTTTTATTTTCACTTCAGCCTTATGCCTGCAAATTTAAAGATATACACTTATCCTCTGTATTTCGATACTTAATATTGAAACAAGTTTTTCTATTCCAATGTTTTTTTTTACATTTTTATTAGATATACTTTTATGAAGTTTTGTTTTGTCATTAGTAATTTTTTTCAATATTAAAATGCACAGCTGAAGGATAATTATTATTTTTTTTTGTATTAGATATTAATTGAAAAATATAATGTATTACGTACATCATGTAAAGTTTGCTTTAGCATTTTTATTTTTCGATAGATATTTTGATAGTCAATAATTATCTTGTCATGGGAACAAATTTTCAAAAGTATATCTCAAAATTGTATAAAAACTACTTTCGATAATCACCAATGTTTGTAATTATATGCTTTCAAGAAATCACCAATTAAATACAACCGCTTTTATTATTTTCATGTACGCTTATACATTTTTACTTAAAACATAAAAAAAAGTTAATTAATAACATTTTTTATTTAATTTGTAAATTGAGAGCGATGTTTCTAAAATGTGGAAGAAAAATGAAATTTTATGATGATTTTTATTTCATCTTAACTTTCATGGTTTGATTATTGCTTAACTTGCTGAACTATATAATTGAGTAGAAATATGTCTGATTGGTACTTTATAAAAGGTAATAACTATCAGACATGAAATTAGATAAACAAGAACAGGTTTTTATATGTTTTATATATATTTTTAATAATTTGGATTCATAAATCATCTATTAAGTAATATAATTAACAAATTATGCTAAATGTATCAATATTTTAACCAAACATTTAGTTTTTGAAGGTAATAATATAATTTAATGTGCAGCAAAATCTTCAAAGAATTTAATTAATTTGACTTTTAATTAATTTTCAATAATATTCATTTTTCTATACGTTTGTCATTACCTTATTTTATTATTTTATTATGTTAAATCACAATTATATTAACAAAAATAAGTATAGAATGTTTTCTTGTAATTAGGTAAAATTACATTTTCAATTATGCGTTTGAAAATATATGTTATGCCTTTAATATTGAAATATGATCAGTATGATTAAATGTAAATGGAAATGCTTTATTAGTAAAAAAAAATTAACATATTAAATTTGAATAAGAATGTATCATTGTATAGAATTACAAATGCACAATATACATTTGACTCATAAAAATAGTAACACTTTTAATTATAAATTTATAATCTTTATTAAATATAATTACCTAAATTGTATTCAAGAAAAAAGTGAAAAATTATAATAAGAGAAATTCATGAAAATGTAATAGATTCTTTGTTAACAAAAATTCATAAGTGCCTAAGAAAATTAATCTAAATTTTTTTTTTTTTTATAAAATGAATTGGCAATTGATAAATTAAATTTTTGCATACTATTTAAATAAATAATATATAAGAGCATATACACAATAGCACTCACACGCACGCACGCTCGTGCGCGCGCACGTACACACAGGCACACACATATCCATATGTATGTATCTCCTGTTGGCTATAAACAATTATTTGCTATAATAAAAAATAATAAATATGCTATGTGACAATAATATGCTGATTTCATTATTACTTTTCTTACTTGTTTATAGTAGCATACGCTATGCATGTATTTAACATACTCGGCTATAAATTATGCATTTAGGCAAAAATTTCTAGACGAGTATGTATTACGGTAATTTTTTCTTTTAACAAATAAACAAATAAATAGAATAGTTAACGAAATAATTTATAAAATAAAATCTCATATTTATCAATGAGACTATTTTATTATAATTAACGAATTAATACTTATTTTAGTAATTCCATCCTTTAATAGCCATATTTTAAATAATTAAATATTCGTTATAATTTAATCTAAAATATATAATCTTGGAATGTTGTTGTATTGGTGTTTGTAAACGAAGTTAAAGCTACTTCAGAAAATGCGTCGTTAGCTATAGCTAAGAACGAAATGATGTATTAAGGTTGTATGATTATTATGTAAATTAAATCAGCTTTACAGTCACTTGTTTCGAAGAATATATATACAGCAACTTAAAAAATAGATAAAATTTGTGTTATATTTTCTTGAGGATAATAAAAAAATTATTTTATTATTATCTGATATAAATTTGAAAAATGATAAATAAATTTCCAAACATTTAAAACATTTATTAGAATAACTAACAATATTGAATCTTTACAATAATACACCCGCCATTAATTTATTATATTATAATTAATTTATTAATTTTTAATACAATGATTACGAATTTCTGTTTTTTTCAACTAATTTACTTCTGTTTCCAAATATTTACATTACAAATTATTGATAAATTGCTGTATTATTTAAATGTTATTTTTATAAGTAATTTTTTTCTCTCCTAAATTTTACCGCTCATTCGAGCATTTGCTCTCATATTAAAATATCTAATTAATATTTTAATTAAGATGATTAAACATTTACGGTTGGACGAACCGATAAAATTGGTTAACAAAATGCTAGTTTGGCGTTTCACA